TCTCTCTCTCTCTCTCTCTCTCTCTCTCTCTCTCTCTCTCTCTCTCTCTCTCTCTCTCTCTCTCTCTCACACACTCTCACACACACACACAACATGAGATGAGCAGGGGACAAGACAGGACAGAAACTTGGTAATATGGTACTCATTATAGTGTTATAGAAATTAAATGGCGCCACCTTCATTGTTGTGGTTTTCAGTGGTTGAACTACACATGCCAGCACTTTTTGTGCAAATATTTTCAGTTATACTTTTGCACCTTTAATTTATTCTGTGAAGTAATAAGTTCAGGAACAATCTTCCTCCAAATATGTTATATGGAATTGGTTACTAGTGCAATATAGATTTACAGTATTAGCACTAGTTTTGTAAGTTTTGTTTGTTTCATCAAATGTCTTTTGATAAATAAATGCAGAATTTAGATGTATACATGATCTGTCATATTATTACTCTGTGGTTAAAAGGACTCGAAATTCAAAGTTTAGGACTTTGGACTCGACTTGGGACTCGCCAGTCTTGACTTTGGACTCGACTTGGGACTCACCCGTCTTGACTTGGGACTTGACTTGGGACTTGGAGACAACGACTTGAGACTGACTTATGACTTGCCAAACAATGACTTGGTCCCACCTCTGTTTTGTAGTCTCACAGGTGGTTCCTATCTTGGCAGCCAGTGCTGTTTCTGCATAGGAGAGGGTGTGAGCAGTTAACACACATCTATATCTAATAGAGGTTTGGTTTTCCACATACACATCTGCATACAAAAGGTTTGGGAGACAATTAACATTTATGCAGATTATGAAGACAATATGCAGTATACATATACAGTATTGTTCAAAAGAATAGCAGTACAATGTGACTAACCAGAATAATCCAGGTTTTTAGTATATTTTTTATTGCTACATGGCAAACAAGTTACCAGTAGGTGCAGTAGATTCTCAGAAAGCAAACAAGACCCAGCATTCATGATATGCACGCTCTTAAGGCTGTGCAATTGGGCAATTAGTTGAAAGGGGTGTGTTAAAAAAATAGCAGTGTGGCATTCAATCAGTGAGGTCATCAATTTTGTGAAATAACAGGTGTGAATCAGGTGGCCCCTATTTAAGGATGAAGCCAGCACTTGTTGAACATGCATTTGAAAGCCTGAGGAAAATGGGTCGTTCAAGACATTGTTCAGAAGAACAGCGTACTTTGATTAAAAAGTTGATTGGAGAGGGGAAAACCTATAAAGAGGTGCAAAAAATTATAGGCTGTTCAGCTAAAATGATCTCCAATGCCTTAAAATGGAGAGCAAAACCAGAGAGACGTGGAAGAAAACGGAAGACAACCATCAAAATGGATCGAAGAATAACCAGAATGGCAAAGGCCCAGCCAATGATCAGCTCCAGGATGATCAAAGACAGTCTGGAGTTACCTGTAAGTACTGTGACAGTTAGAAGACGTCTGTGTGAAGCTAATCTATTTTCAAGAATCCCCCGCAAAGTCCCTCTGTTAAAAAAAAGGCACGTGCAGAAGAGGTTACAATTTGCCAAAGAACAAATCAACTGGCCTAAAGAGAAATGGAGGAACATTTTGTGGACTGATGAGAGTAAAATTGTTCTTTTTGGGTCCAAGGGCTACAGACAGTTTGTGAGACGACCCCCAAACTCTGAATTCAAGCCACAGTACACAGTGAAGACAGTGAAGCATGGTGGTGCAAGCATCATGATATGGGCATGTTTCTCCTACTATGGTGTTGGGCCTATTTATCGCATACCAGGGATCATGGATCAGTTTGCATATGTCAAAATACTTGAAGAGGTCATGTTGCCTTATGCTGAAGAGGACATGCCCTTGAAATGGTTGTTTCAACAAGACAATGACCCCAAACACACTAGTAAACGAGCAAAGTCTTGGTTCCAAACCAACAAAATTAATGTTATGGAGTGGCCAGCCCAATCCCCGGACCTTAATCCAATCGAGAACTTGTGGGGTGATATCAAAAATGCTGTTTCTGAAGCAAAACCAAGAAATGTAAATGAATTGTGGAATGTTGTTAAAGAATCATGGAGTGTAATAACAGCTGAAAGGTGCCACAAGTTGGTTGACTCCATGCCACACAGATGTGAAGCAGTTATAAAAAACTGTGGTCATACAACTAAATATTAGTTTAGTGATTCACAGGATTGCTAAATCCTAGAAACAAAAACGTTTGTACAAAATAGTTTTGTGTTTGTACAGTCAACGGCAGACACTGCTATTTTTTTGAACACACCCCTTTCAACTAATTGCCCAATTGCACAGCCTTAAGAGCGTGCATATCATGAATGCTGGGTCTTGTTTGCTTTCTGAGAATCTACTGCACCTACTGGTAACTTGTTTGCCATGTAGCAATAAAAAATATACTAAAAACCTGGATTATTCTGGTTAGTCACATTGTACTGCTGTTATTTTGAACAATACTGTATACATTGTGCTGTTTCATATACTGTTGTGTATTCTTCTACGTACTATTGTGGGTTTATTCACTGTTTGAGAAGGGAAAGTATGTGCCTGATGAGTTTGATTTACCAGGAAGGGAGAGGGGACCTAGTGCAGCTTAGCATGACTTTTGCAGGATCCTGTCCAGAGTCCAAGAACATCTAGTTACAAAAACTATATTTGAGTAGAAACTTGAGACACACATATTCGAATAGCACATGATACACACATCTTTTAATAGCACATGATTTATGATATTTTGCCTCACACACACACACATTACGACTGGGTAAGGATGAACAGAAGCCAGACACACACAACACACATCTTTTGCAAGACAGACACACACACAGGGGTGGAAAAGTAGATAGGGTAGGTAGCAGAATCATAGAGACACAAACAGGCCCTTGTATGGTAATGAGTGGCCAATCAATGATGACAGGGTGTGGGCATTAATGGTATAAAAGAATTGTAACTGCACAGTTTTGTTCAGTTGTACCCAGTTGTGTTGAAGAATCAACTGCAGATTTTTTTGCATATAATAAAAGGATTTGAAATATAAAACCCTTCTTTCTCAGAAAAGTTTTTTCCATAACCAGAACCATCAGACTGAGTTACAAAGCTCAGAGTTGCAGATGATAAGAATCCAAGCATTAATTTCCTGTCCCAACATTCCTGAAAAAATGGGTGTGATCAGTCAGAATGAGCAGTTAAACTTTATTTACATTTCTATGGATGTTTAATATGAGGCATACGAGCCCATTCTTAATAACCCAGACATGTTCAGCAGATTACAGAACCTTGTTTTGAAGTGCCTTGGCTTTTTTCTTGCAAACAACATGTCTATTACTATGACTGTCTTGATTTTTTTGTGTGATATAGGAGACATTCTGCACTAAATGATGGCTTCACAATATACATGTTCAGTCAGGCAGTCAATGGTTCCCTTCGGCATACAACACTTTTCAAACACTGAGACATGATAAATTAATGGTTAAATAGTACTTGATGACATTTTGTGGCAAACAGTTTTGTTTTCACAGTCTACAGAGGTGCACTCCTTCACACGTCAGGTCCACTTTAAGTGATTCCTGGAAAAGCTTTCATCAGGGTCTCCCTCTTTTGGAAACAGCCCCAGTCTGGCACAGCAACTGAGTTCATAGCCTGTGCAACACGGTTCCAACAATCATGCAGAAGTGCGCACTTGTGGTAGGTAGACTCTATGTACTGTATTAGGGCTTGCATTGTGTGATCATTTTTTTTATGTTGCTTTGAAAATGTGCAGTTTTACTCTATTCTTCTGTGACCTTTTCCCATTCCCCAGCTGGTGAACTGAAGATGCCTCCTGCAGCAGCAACTAATCTAGGCTATACCCCACCGGATGGAGGTTGGGGCTGGGCTGTGGTCTTTGGGGCGTTCATCTCCATAGGATATGCTTCTGCGTTTCCCAAGTCCCTTGCCGTCTACTTTAAGGAAATTCAGGAATATTTTTCAGTTTCCTACAGTGAGATCGCCTGGGTGCCTTCAGTTATGCTGGCCTGTATGTATGGAGGAGGTCAGTGACATATATGTGCAAAAAATTAACAAACATATTTTTTTAAAATTGCACATTTTCACATAGCATATCCCATGAACAATTTTGACAGAGTGAAGTAATTCAATCATCATTTTTTTGTCCTTTATTTAAACAAAACAGATGTAGCTTTAGTGCTGAAAAGCCCCCAGAAAGTGAGGTATCCTTCTCTTCTGTGCAGGACCTGTGAGCAGTATACTTGTCAACCGCTACGGCAGCAGACCTGTGGTTCTGCTTGGTGGACTCATGGTTGGCGCTGCCATGGTGCTCGCTTCTTATGGCACTAGTATCATACAACTGTATGTTTATGTTGGATTAATAGGAGGTAAATTCCACTTTTTCATTAATGAATGTGTGGTTCCTTGTTAATGCCCCAGTAAAATATCTCTGAAATGTGCACTTTCAAAAGTAGGAGAGTTACTAGATGCAGGAGAGCATTTGTCCCTATGTGAGGTTAAGGTTGACCACTTTGTCCAATGTGTAAATGTTTGTTTAAAGCAAAATAAAATATCCATGCCTTCTTAAAAATGAATTATTAAAGCAGTGAATCTGGATTATACATCATGCTTTTGAAAATCCAAACATGCATACACGTGCACGTACGCCAGACCAAATAATCATGTTACTACTGAGCAAACTAGCCTCTCTTTAAACTAGACTTTAAACTTTAACCCAGATGCGCCACCTACTGGGACACAGAACAGAACTGTATAAATGATTTGACCATGAAAAATTAATTAGGGCTGCAATATTTTCATTATAATTAATCAATAGCTTATTTAGTTTTTAAAATGTCAAACTATAGTGAAAAGGGTCCTGTAATCGATGAAGGTATCTTTAAATTGTTTATTTTGTCTGAACCAAAAGGTCTTCAGTTTATAGTTAACACAAATGATTTTAAACCAAATTTGTAGCTTTATCAGTGTTGCTATGCATCTCATTTTAAACCTGTACAAAACATATTATTGCAAACAAAGTTGACTTGTATAAAATAATGCTATTACTGTATCTTATTCACTCAAACTGGACATGATTCAAAAAAGAATACTGCTTGCGCATGGTGAAGTTTTATTATGTAGTTTGTAATTAAAACTCACATCTGAAATCCTCCCCAAACAATGCATGATGACACTACATACTGTATTTTACTAAATTAGCTGATGATGAAGTTGCTTAGTCAAGTAATTAACTATTTTATTATTTCAACAGGTTTCGGCCTCGCCTTCAACCTGCAGCCAGCACTGACGATCATAGGCACCTACTTTCAGGTCAGAAGGCCACTGGCAAATGGGCTCGCAATGACAGGAAGCCCAGTTATTTTGTTAATTCTGGCTCCCCTCAATCAGTTTCTGTTTGATTCTTTTGGCTGGAGGGGTAGCTTCCTCATCCTGGGATCCATTGGTTTGAACTGCTGTGTAGCTGGTGCTCTGATGAGACCAGTCGGTAAAAGTATCCAACCCAAACCAAAGACCGAACCACCAGAGTGTGACGCGGCAGTCGCTGAGAAAGCTGAAGCTGTGGACACCACTGAACAGTCAGCCAGCCTCCAAACTGAAAAAGGCAAAAGCCAAAGCAGAAGTCAGAGTTGTGTGCACAGATTCATAGATCTCTCACTATTCACACACCGGGGCTTCCTAATTTATCTCATTGGTAATGTGGTCATGTATTTTGGTATTTTTGCACCTGTGGTTTTTTTAACTCCATATGCGAAGCATCAAGGGATTGATGAATATTCAGCAGCTTTATTGCTCTCTATTTATTCTCTGGCGGACATATTTGTCAGACCAGCAACTGGCTTCATTGGCAACAGCAAGTGGATTAGGCCACGCATCCAATATTTCTTCAGTTTTGCTATTTTATACAGCGGCGTATGTCACCTTTTGTGCCCTCTGGCATCAGGATATGTGGGTCTGGTTGTTTATGCTGTCTTCTCTGGTTTGGCTTTTGGGATGGTTTCTGCTCTGCTCTTTGAAGTTCTGATGGATCTTGTTGGAGCTCATCGCTTCTCCAGTGCGGTTGGGCTTGTCACCATTATGGAGTGTGGACCAGTGCTTCTTGGACCTCCAATTTCAGGTTTGTGAATCCAGACTCATGGAGACATCTATATACACTCTTTAAACATCTGAGGAATTTGTAAAATGGTAAAGTGTGTATTTGCTCTTTCAGGAGCCTTGGTGGATATTTCTGGGGAATACAATTACATGTACTATGCATGTGGATTATTTATGCTGGTGCCCGGTATATTCCTCTTCATCATGCATTACTACAACTACAAGAAACTGGACGAGGAGCAGAGGCAGAGTGTGGCTGTGGAAATGAAAACTTCTGAAGAGACAGTAAAACTTCAAATAGGCCCGGATGATAAAACAGCACATGAAGCAGATAGATGAACCTGCTGATCATGATTTTATTTTTCTTGGAAACAGAAAGATGATACTGCACAGATTTTACTGCAGGATTCCCAGCACAGTATACAGACTGTTGTTAAAAAATTGAATAACCTTTTAAAAATCTACTTTTAATAAGGTTATTATATTCCTTGGATCTTTGCTACTATTAGTATTTGCTATTTTAATGGTTATTTTATGTTATTATTTTTATTACACTATGTGGTGGCTGTAACTCCTAGCCTCAGACAAAGGACTTATCTCTGTACTTGTCCTCCTAGATCTCAGTGCTGCTTTTGACACCATTGGTCACAACATCTTATTACAGAGACTAAAACATGTTATTGGGATTAAAGGAACCGTACTAAGTTGGTTCAAGTCTTATTTAACATATACTGTCGATTCCAGTTTGTTCATGTTAATGATGAATGTTCCACACAGACTAAAGTTAGTTACGGTGTTCCACAAGGATCTGTGCTAGGTCTGTTTCTCTTCACTTCCAATATTATCAGGAAACAGCATACATTTCCATTGCTATGTAGATGATAGTCAGTTATATTTATCTATGAACTCAGCTGTATCAGATCAATTGGTCAAACCTCAAGCATGTCTTAAAGACATAAAGGCCTGGATGACCTCTCATTTCTTACCTGTATACTCAGACAAAACTGAAATTATTGCACTTGGGCTTTAGAAAAATGTTAGCTAACCATATAGTTACACTAGCCCTTTTATTCATAGTGGTCACTACAGTAGACAGCTGTTTAAAAACTGCTTTTTTTCTTGTATGTGCATGGGTTCAGATTGTGCAGTTTCCTATCAGCCACTACAGTGGAAACTAGTGTCATCCCATACTCTGCCACCCACTGGTCAGCCATTGTTAACTGCAACAATCAGTTGATAATACATAATTAAATGTTCCAAAGAATGGGAGAGCATTCATATGGAAGCTCAGTATATGAGTTAAATGATGTTTACCCATTACCTGGACTCAAAGAGGGGGCGTCAGGCCATGCCATCATAAATCTTCAGAGCCCCACAGTAAGCAACACCACTTTCCAGACCTAACCTACCCTTAACACAAAACATTCCTAAACCCTGTTCTCACCCAAGCAAAGAGCAGATATGTGGCTTGACACACAACATCTGTATTGTATTTGCTCATGTTAAGCAGTGGCTGGCCCAACTGGTTTGTAATGGCAGTCTGAGAGCTGGCTCAGTTTAGTTGTCCAACCACTGTTCTACCAAGATTGTCTAACAGACAAAGACTATTAATAATTCCAGTGAGTCTGTAACTACATTATTTGTAGCAATCTGAGGAAGCACATTAATTTGTCATGTATTTAATTCACTACTAGAGCAAGAAAAAAACAACAACCCAAAAACCAACTCCAGTCCGGTTATTTTATCTTTTATCTTCCTCAGTTGATTTCTTGTCTAATATACTTTGTAATGATATTTATATCGTCACAAGATTTTCTGTGAGCCAAGATTTTAGCTTTTTAACCATCTCTACCTCCAGTATATACAACCAGCACACACACACAAGCAGAGACAAACTGCACACACAGAGAGTACGAAGGACAATACAATTAACAAATACAACAAAAAGATAAAGGTTACATTTTTTTACCAGACAAACATGGGTATTTATCTCCGCCTCTAACAGCATTATTGCTTTTTGGTGTGTATGGGCAGTTGGATTTATCATGCAACCACGTGATGAGATCAAAGGTCTTTCATCAAGGTCCACCTCTTTTGGAAAGAGCCCCAGTCTGGCACAGAAACTGAGTTTATAGCCTGCGGCAATCGTGCAGAGGTGTCCTCTTGCGGTAGGTAGACTCTGTGTAGTATATAAGGGCCTGCATTGTGTGATCATTATTTTTATGTTGCTTTGAAAATGTGCAGTTTTACTCTATTCTTCTGTGACCTTTTCCCATTCCCCAGCTGGTGAACTGAAGATGCCTCCTGCAGCAGCAACTAATCTAGGCTATACCCCACCGGATGGAGGTTGGGGCTGGGCTGTGGTCTTTGGGGGGTTCATCTCCATAGGTTTCTCTTATGCGTTTCCCAAGTCTCTCACTGTCTACTTTAAGGAAATTCAGGAATATTTTTCAGTTTCCTACAGTGAGATCGCCTGGGTGTCTTCAGTCATGCTTGCCTCTATGTATGCAGGAGGTCAGTGACATATATGTGCAAAAAATGATAAACATATTTTTTAAAAATTGCACATTTTCACATAGCATATCCCATGAACAATTTTAACAGAGTGAAGTAATTCAATCATCATTTTTTTTTTCTTTATTTAAAAAAACAGATGTAGCTTTAGTGCTGAAAAGCCCCCAGAAAGTGAGGTATCCTTCTCTTCTGTGCAGGACCTGTGAGCAGTATACTTGTCAACCGCTACGGCAGCAGACCTGTGGTTCTGCTCGGTGGACTCATGGTTGGTGCTGCCATGGTGCTCGCTTCTTATGGCACTACTATCATACATCTGTATGTTTGTGTTGGATTAATAGGAGGTAAATTCCATTTTTTTTCTATTTTTCATTAACAAACATGTTGTTCCTTGTCAATGGACCTAGTAAAATATCTCTAAAATATGCTGACTTTTAAAAGTTGTTTTATGTTGATGCAGGAGAGTGTTTGTTTAAACCACAATGAAATACCCATGCTTTAAAAAATGTATTATTAAAGCAGTGAATTTTTAATCTGGATTATACATCATGTTTTTGCAAATGTTGCACTAAAATCAGATGGATTTAGAAAATCCAAACATGCCTACATGTGTATGTACGCCACACCACACAGTCATGTTACTAACACTGAGCAAACAACCCTCTCTTGAAACTAGACTTTAAACTTTATCTTTGACCCAGATATGCCACCTACTGTGGCCTCTGCTCTCAGCTCGAGCCACTTTGCATTACTCACCGTGGATCGTTAGTCTGTTCCCCCAGTGGATGATGAGCTGCTTTCTTCTCCATTCAGTATCCATAGATGTATTACTGCTGACCCTGCTGCACCATCTGTGGCATCCAGCTGGTTGCACAGTGCCTTGAGCAGCAGACCACAGTGGCCTCCATTATTTCTCTGGCTCTTCCTCAGTACTGTGAGGAGTCCTCCAACCACCGTCCTTGTCATTTGTCATACCTGGATTCATCCTGACACCATTGCTCTCCTTTTCCAAGGGGCCTACACTCCTATTTGCCTTCTGTTATCTTGGCCAGGTCCCCCATGAAAAAGAGGTTTTTAATCTCAATGGTCTTTTTTTCACCTGGTAAAATATAGGTTAAATAAAATAAATAAATAAATAATTCACTGGCTGCCTCATCCAGGCACAACCATTAACATCGACCAAGCAGGGGGTCGAGACGCTCCATGGCTCTCTTGCTCCTCTGCTTCCATCCGTTAATACCATCCACTTCACAACAGGGCTGACTCCAGCCATCGCAAATTATCTCCTGTTGATTCACCCTGACCTGACACTTTTCACGGCCACATGGGCTGCTGAGGTGATCCTGCTTTCTCCAGAAACAATTGTCATTCCTCCTGCGTTTGTGCACCCGTATGCTTGTTCACCACCAGGCTTCCAAAGTCTCTTTAGAGAGATTATAAGGAGCATTATATTGCATTCCACAGGTCCAATAACAAAGCTCCTCCATTTCAACCTCTTTACTCTGCCTAAACCTCATATGAGGAAATCACACATTTTATTTCTCACTAAAGTGAGATTGCAGACCCTTTCCCACCTCTGTTTCCAGAGATCCAGGACATTAGCTCCAGATGCCAAGGAATCCCTGACACGTAGTCCTCCATTTTCATCTACCGTGCTGCTGATCTAGTAAATCCAGACCCATCACATCTCGTCCGTCTAACACAGGACGCTATTCTCAATGTTGTTGCTACAGAACACATTCCTCCTACTGTTCAGTGAGGAACTTCCTCTGTACTTTTGGCCATCGCCTCACTATCAAGTCTCCAACACACCTCAGCTTCTGCTTTTCATTACCCTGCCAAATTCCCCTCCATCTTTTCTGTTCATACTCCTCCCACTTCTCCCAACTTTTCTACTGGGGGTCTGCCAGTGCTCGAGAACAACATAGACTCCTAAAGCCTTCCCCAAAGCCAAATGTACATAAGCACTTCGATCATATCTGCACTTAGTGAAGGCAGGTCCCTGCTACTGAATTGTCTATTTTATCTGACCAACAGTCCTGAACCAAACAATGCGCGATAACACTGAATATTAGTTGATTTTGCTAAATCTGCTGCTGATAAAGATGTTAAGTCTAGTGTCTGTGTGTTCTTCATGGAGATGATATTGTTTTACTTAACTATTTAAGTGATAAAATAGCACAATTTTTATTTATATGTCCTTAAATTTTGATTTAATAGGACATTAGCCTCAAAGTTATAATGCTGTCATACGATCCAATCCAAATTTGTTATATTTGGTGTGTAATTAACTATTTTATTATTTCAACAGGTTTCGGCCTCGCCTTCAACCTGCAGCCAGCGCTGACAATCATAGGCACCTACTTTCAGGTCAGAAGGCCACTGGCAAATGGGCTCGCAATGACAGGAAGCCCAGTTATTCTGTTCATTCTGGCTCCTCTCAACCAGTTTCTGTTTGATTCTTTTGGCTGGAGGGGTAGCTTCCTCATCCTGGGATCCATTGGTTTGAACTGCTGTGTAGCTGGTGCTCTGATGAGACCAGTCGGTAAAAGTATCCAACCCAAACCAAAGACCGAACCACCAGAGTGTGACGCGGCAGTCGCTGAGAAAGCTGAAGCTGTGGACACCACTGAACAGTCAGCCAGCCTCCAAACTGAAAAAGGCAAAAGCCAAAGCAGAAGTCAGAGTTGTGTGCACAGATTCATAGATCTCTCACTATTCACACACCGGGGCTTCCTAATTTATCTCATTGGTAATGTGGTCATGTTTTTTGGCTTTTTTGCACCTTTGGTTTTTCTAGCTCCATATGCGAAGCATCAAGGGTTTGATGACTATTCATCAGCTTTATTACTCTCTATTTTGGCCCTAGCAGACATGTTTGTCAGACCAGCAACTGGCTTCATTGGCAACAGCAAGTGGATTAGGCCACGCATCCAATATTTCTTCAGTTTTGCTGTTTCATACAGCGGCGTATGTCACCTTTTGTGCCCTCTGGCATCAGGATATGTGGGTCTGGTTGTTTACGCCGTCTTCTCTGGTTTGGGTTTTGGGATGGTTTCTGCTCTGCTCTTTGAAGTTCTGATGGATCTTGTTGGAGCTCATCGCTTCTCCACGGCTGTTGGGCTTGTCACCATTATTGAGTGTGGACCAGTGCTTCTTGGACCTCCAATTTCAGGTTTGTAAATCCAGACTCATGGAGACATCTATATACACTCTTTAAACATCTGAGGAATTTGTAAAATGGTAAAGTGTGTATTTGCTCTTTCAGGAGCCTTGGTGGATATTTCTGGGGAATACAAATACATGTACTATGCATGTGGATTATTTATGCTGGTGCCCGGTATATTCCTCTTCATCATGCATTACTACAACTACAAGAAACTGGACGAGGAGCAGAGGCAGAGTGTGGCTGTGGAAATGAAAACTTCTGAAGAGACAGTAAAACTTCAAATAGGCCTGGATGATAAAACAGCACATGAAGCAGATAGATGAACCTGCTGATCATGATTTTATTTTTCTGGGAAACATAAAGATGATACTGCACAGATTTTACTGCAGGACATCCAATACAGTATACTGGAAATAAAAAAAAGAAGTTTTTTTTTTGTACTTTGAGTGAGGTTAGTATATTCCTTGGATCTTTGCTGCCATCAACATTTGATATTTCAATGGTTATTTTATGTATGTTATTATTTTTACACTATGTGGTGGCTGTAACTCTAATGGCCTTTGCTCATAAATCATCCAGAACTGCCCCTGTTCCTTCTAGTACAATTATCATAATAGCTCTGTAAATTAATATGGTTTCTTCTTGTTCCTTCAGTGGCTGAATAAAAAGTAATTTTCCTCAGGGACTGATATAAAATAATGAGTTAAAACCCTCAGCACAAAGCCATACTATACACCTGCTTACTGTATTATGATTTTCTTACCACTAGATGGCAACGGACACTATCGCATGAGAGCTCTTTCTCACATCGCTCCTTCTGGAGTTCAGTAAAAGGCATCTTCATTGCTGGTTTGAGTTCTTTACAGCATTCATTGTCTGTGTCATGACAATCCCTTATGTCTCCAGATTATTTTGAATTTGTTACTAAAGGCACAGCAAATTAAAAAATGAGAAAACAAATGTATTTTTTATAGACTTGAGAGTCTCTATCTCTTAAAGAAATTCTGAAATCCCCTCATGTGATGCCACAATTTAAACCTCACTTTTAGAGAAAACTTTATTCATTGTTGAATTTCTAGTGCACATTAAATGACATTTTTTATTGCCATTGGGGGTCTGTGAAAGCTGCTTCACTTCAGCACCACTTTAGTATAGCCATAAAAATTGAGTATAAGGTAATAGAATGCTGTTAGATGTAAAACTAAAATTGCATTTGCATATGTGGCTGAGGAAATGAAATGTTTTACTGACACAAACATTTTGTTCATGTAACAGTGACACTAACCATAGCTACGAGTCATGGCTCCGAATATTTTAATATTTCAAAGCGCTGATGTTGTTTGTATTTTTATTTGACACTTTCATAACTAATACATATTTCTATTATGTGCAATGTGAATAACCTTAAAATATAGGCTCAAAGATTCTGATTCATCTGGTACACCACAGTGAAAACACCTGACAGTAAAGCAAATTTGTGAATTCATGCCAGCTGAGATCATCCCACACAGGTGAAATCTTCTTTTTCAACGCACTGCATGGTTACATCCCTTTAGTGCCAAGCCTTGAGCACCAGCAACAAAAGATATATGGGCGAGCCACTGAGGAAATGAACAATGCCATTATCACAGATGTATGCTTAAATGATCCTTCCTTATCATGTCCCTGCAAGGTGCACATTGACTCTCTTTTTCAGATGGATGAAAATTGCTTATGTGAGTGAATCAATATGTTTATTTATAATCTTAGATAACATTATCTCAAAATCAGATACACAGTTTAAGTCCATGGCTTATGGTTGGGTGGTTCTTTCTTTGGATCCTGGTTTAATTTGAATCAGACAAATGCAATGCAATAGGGGTTAACTTTACAATTGTTTTATTTTTTCATATAACTGTTGTTTTAATTTGCTCACAGACTAATAAATGGTTATTCTGGCCTAGTGTTTGACACAACAAGCTCTACATTTACTTTAAAACATTTTAAATTTGCTGCTTTAAAGCGCCTTAGATTTGTGTTACCTGTTTATCTACGTTATATATCACTTGTATTATGTGGCATTCATGTGGACGGCAAAGTAAGAATTTCATTGTACAGGGAAACACATTTCCTAACTGTGCATATGACAATAAACACTTTGACCCTGAACACTTTGACCTTGAAATTGGACAAAACATGACGCACATATGCTTATTATTTGGATATGCTTTGGTGGTGATACTATATATGATATAGTGGAGAAAGTATGCAGATCCTTTACTCATGTATCGATACCACAAGGTAGAAATATTCAACTTTTAACTGTCCTCCTCATCAAAAGTACTCACTGCAGAGAAAGGGTGTTATATACATACAATTATATAATATATCATTAGATTATTATTATTCATGCATTAATTTAGAAGTAGAAATTTGCCCTTGGTTGTCACCTATTTCAATAGGTCTGCATCTACTTATTATTATTATTCTTTATCAAATCATTCATTGTGTGGTTTGTAAAATGTAAAACAGTAGCACAGAGCTCAAAGTTATTGTAATATGATACAAGGAAAAGTAGCAAAACATCTTGTATGAGAAGCTGAAAGCAGGAAAATTTTTGCAGTGCTGCAGGAAATATGACAAATGATTAACCAGTTTCAAACAGTCTCTCATTATCTGTTCATAAATGATCAATCAACCAAACAATTCAAATTTTATATAGGCTACTGTTGGGTAATTTAATTTTTTACAGTGTGTCAGCAGAGCACTAGTGAGGTCTAGGTACAAATGCAAAGAATAAAATGACAATTAGGTAAAGTACAAAAACCTCAAAGTTGTACTTAAGCACTGTATTTCAGTAGGCCCCCCATGAGCTCTGGACATGCCTTCTCTTAGAAGCTAAGCAGGGCTGGATTTCATCAGTACCTGCATGGGAGACTGCCAGGTTGGCGTCAGGCTAGCAACCCGGCCCCGTAAAGCCCCTACAGCTAAAAGTAATGGCTGCCACTTGCCATCCAATGTGCCAGTAGTCCTATCACCACCACCCACAATACTTCAATATAAATATCAATATGATTATGTAGATATGTAACAAATATTCCAGTGGGAAATAGGGTTATTGAGTAGAAACAAAGTGAGGGAGTGAAGACCTCCAATTAGTTGCCATTCCCATAAGTTCTGTATCATCTCCTCAGTGAACAGCTTGAGCATAATCACTGTGATGAACTGTGACTGATGTTAGTAAATCTGACTTTAATTGGGACTGAGGAGATTGAATTCAGCCAAGGCTGTGTCCAATCCTCATGATGACTACTACCATACTGAGACATGGTGTTTTAACCACGCTGCTGGTTTCAGCATTTGCATCTCAAGTTCTATTTTAACCACACTGCTGGGGTGTCTGTAAAGAAGGGAGTGATACGATTTAATCCAACATATTTGTTAATAATCTCTTCTAATCTTTTTTATCCACCGCTGCAGAACTAATCTGTCTTCTCAGTGTTTACACTCAGAGGGGGGGGCAACATGTGAACACCAGAGACTTAGGAGTTTATTCATTTAAACACTGATAGCCACAGCAGCTAACACAGATACATAGGGTTGACATGCTAGCAGACAAAGAAGCAAAAACCACGTTAGCCTATCCAAGCAGCTCTCAAGGACTCAATCACACCTTCCAGAGACTATCCTTGTCCTGCAATGCCTCTTAAGTGACCCAGATGAAAAACAAGGTTTACAGAGATCATTTAGTGAAAACATGGCACCCTACTCTTGAAATCAATAATGTTTGCAGACAGCTCCAGTAACATAAATCATGCTCATGCTATTTATGATGAAGTAGATACAGATATTTTTGAAATTTTAGTTTCTTCAGCGCAACCAGTCAATATCTGAATGTGTACAGGGAATAACAGAACAGCCAGCCTGAAAGATACAATATCTGTTCAACAAAATAGTCAGATGGTTCTACTTGTTACAGTAAATGAATGAAGTGAACAGTTTTTTATTTACAAATCCAGCTCTTACCAAGCTGATACAGAGTCCATCTAAGCACAGTACTCACTCTTTTAGGTCTGTTTTCAGACTATACCAACTCCTGAGAAAAATGTGCCTCTTTAGCTGCTGCAGTAAATGGTCCACTATGTTCACCAGCTAGTTGCTTGCTTTGTCTGTCTATTGTCTGCTACAGAGCAGGCAGTGTACAGGGGGTTTTAAAAGGTTTTTTGGTTGAAAAAAAAAAAAACTCTGGCCATTTGACCAAACATCACAAATAAGAGGGAATCAGAACAGTAGAGTTGCAGGTTGGTCTAACAATCCTTGAGAGGAAACTCAATGTTAAGCTCCGTAAAGCTGAGGAGAGCTCAGGTCCAGGTGACAGTTCCCTGTAGGTTCATCACTACACATGACTCCTTTCACATTGTCAGCTGATACACTGTCATCATAAATTTATCAAGCTGCTTAGTAAAGGGTTGGAATACTCCTTCCACCACTTGTGTATAGCACTGAAACTGTGTAAGAGGTTGTTAGTGAAAAGCTTGCCATACTGTAAAGATAAACCTTAACGGCCTTTGCATGTATATCACTTTTGAATGTTTAAGCTCTTATACCAAGCCAAGACAGTCTGGTAATAAGAGACGCTCAACCAGGCAAGTTGTGCTGCTACTGCTGGACAAGAGACTTCCTTGTGGAATAAAACTGGGATAAAACAAAGCCCTTATGAAGACAGCCTTTTTAAAACTCAGACAAAAGAGGAAGTTAAACTCCTCAACTACTCAATCATGGCCTAATGCATGTAAAAGAAATTGAGTCACAAAGCATAAGGACTTAATGAGATTATGTTACCCATATTTAACAATCTGCAAAACACATTTCCCAAAACCGAGAACAGTACCTCTTTTTTGTTTGCCGCCGAGCCCAAGAATGTGTGAATTATCATCCTAACACACATTTACCCCACTTTTCAGAGTTGACAATGCAGAGCCCCTGCCTAGTATCCTTAATCTGCCACTCAAAACACAGTTAGCCTTTGTGAGAACAAATGTGTATTAGAGAAACGTTGGTTGTGGAGACTCTCTGCTGCCTATTAGAGCCATTGTTCCTCTTTATCTGGTGAACACAGACAACCGCTAAAGCTTGCCTGTCTGAGGATGGTGCTGCTGTTGTGTGCATATTACAGGAGCAACACAAGGATTGGCCTGTGGATTATAATCTATCCCTTGAATACCACAGTGAATTACATAGCTATGTAAACAGTTTTGTCTGAACAGCTAAACTTACCAAAAGCACTGTAGCATCTACACATTGTGCACACATGCACTCGGATGTAATCTGTGACAAGTGGATG